CAAGTACTGAAAGAAGACTGGCAAGATAGTTCGTTTGTCAAAACAATTTCACAAGGCGTAACTTCTCTGGCCGATTCTGCCGCTGACGTCAGGGGGAATCTACGAGCAAATTAACTGGCAAATTAGTTTATAGAGCCAGCACAATCGACCATTGGAATGGAATTATGGTGGGGCGTGCCTAACAGCTCTTTGAAAATAACATTTCTGCTTTTCACGCTTCTGTAGACAAAGTAAGCCTCTGCAGAAATTGTCATAACGAAAACTCCATTGATGATCGTGAACAAGGATTACAGACGAGGACAATGATAGATGGCCGAGGAGGTGGAGACGGGTGATGAATAGAAGGAAAGAGAGAATAATAATAGACGGAAGGCATGCAGAGGAAAAAAAGTGGCCTGGTTAGCTTTTGAAGATGAGAAGGAGGAATAGTTAGATGAGTGCGCCCTTCATCTGCTTACCGTCATCGTCCACTTGATCTGCCCACTCCTTCAGAAGGTCCGGCTTGATGGTGAGATTGAGGGCGCGGAAGGCGGGGCCGAGGTCGTTTGTGCTAATTTTGTCCTGCCCTCGCTTATCGAACTTCTTGAAGACCTCAGTCGCCACTGAAGATGACGGAGAAAAAGGAAGTGTAGGTATTACAGATAGAGAGAACCTAAACAGAAATAAAGCACCCTTTCCCTGGGCGGTAAGCGTAACACTTAGAAGCGAGGAAGTGCACTAAAATAAGACGTTTAATTGGGCCTTCGGAGTAGGGGTTGTAATAAAAGATGCCATCAGTTGCCTTAAGACAGTAACCGCTAAAAATATGCACTGCTTGCTGATAAACAAACATGCTACAACATTTTTAAACGTGAGAGTAAACAGGTGACGCCATCGCACCGGTACCTGCGCGTCAGACATTTGTTTTGGAATATAAAGGACTAGAAGCCGGCGCAAAATATAACTGATGAGCAAATCACATCTAGAAATGCCCAGTTTGCAATCACTCCTGGCTCCAAGAATTCATCAGCTACGAGTTTCTGCGTTATATGAAGCTAATAGGGGATGCCTCTAACAATTTCCAC